CGTTAGCAAGGTGGTGCCCAAAGCACCGGCATCTGTACCAGGTGACATTATGATGGGACTATCCCATCCGTACCAAGTTGGCCACAGCACTGCCCTATCCATTGGGCATAGACTCTGCCATGTGTACCAGGCGACATTATGCTGGGACTATGCCAGCCGCATTTTGATAGGATGGCCTCGGTAGCAAGTTGGTTAGATCCATGTCCTACCTTTCTTTCAATGGTTGCGTCAGCAAGGTGGTGCGTAAAGCACTGCCCAACCCTTTGTTGGGTGGTCGTGTTAGCAAGGCGGTGACCAAAGCACGGTCTTACCCATCCTCTTCAGCGTGAATATCTTTTGCACCCAGATGTAGCATGCCTGGTCTTCTACCAAGGGTGATATGATGAATGTATGTTTTCCTTCAGTTCTTCTTCCACCCATCTTTGCCAGGTGGCATTATGGTAGGACTATGCCAGCAACATTGGAGAGAGGGGGGGGGGGGTTCTTTTTGTTGGCAAGGTGATGCTTAAAGGGCTGTCCTACGTTTCTTCACTTTCACGTCCTTGGCACCCAGGCACCAAGAACGATATGATGAATACATGTTCTCCTGTGGCGAACTTTATCCTCTTTCGAATACATGTTCTCCAGAAGCGAACTTTATCCTCTTTCAGCCTGGTCCGTGACCGGCATGCTATCTGTGGCGATTGTTTTCAGAGCGTGGTCTCTGCCAGCCGCTGCACGGATTGTCGCATGTAAGCTTCTACGTTTGGTTTACCCTGTCATCATCGACATTGTCCATTTCATTCCTGCTGTGTTCACCCGGAAGGATGCTCTGACCCCTGAGCCCTGCTGCCTACACATTCTCGTGTTGCTTCTCCACACCCTTCGCCGCCTTCTCGGCGAGCTTCAATTAAACAGACAGGTGTGTGGGCAACTCGCGCTCAACTGCACAAACATGAGGAACCTGTATGGGACGGGAAAAAATGGCAAATGAGGAAAAATAGATAAAAAGAACAAAAGATAAGGGTGCATTACCTGTACTGTTCATTTTACCTCTGTTTTTCTCCGTCTCGTTCCTGCAAATGAGCTCCTAGTCTGTAGTTCTGCGACTGTAGGGACGAGATCCCACTTGCAGAGAGGATTGGATTAAAAGCCTGAATCTTGATGTGTTTATGCGAAGGTGCAGAATATCACGATCGATCTGCTTTTCTGCATCTCTGCTTAAAACACGTCCAGATTCAGGTGCTTGATTCAATCTTCTTTGCTTGTGGAATCTCGCCGTAATACTATGTTTATGCACTCGCTATGTCTGTATAGGAGCTGGTTGAACCCAAAATCAACGCGATTGATTCCAGAGGAAGTCAATTATGATTCCTGAAAGGAATGATGGCTATCCCAACGATCACCGGCAACACCACGAATGTCATGCACTGATCGTAATTGACATGCACTGATCCTAAGAAAATGAAAATCCAGTGACTCAACAGAAGCCGGTGGACCCTGAGGAAGTCATGACTGTGACTAGTATGTCCAATCATGCTAGGAATTATTGTAGATCCTCTAGACCATGTCAGAATTACTTTTTTTGTGGCTAAATTAAGAATATGAACTTTTTTCAATAAATGATTTGCGATAAAAGGACCTTTTTTTAAAGAACGTGTCATTTGTCAATCTCCTTTATATAAAGAATTATCTTCTTATCTTAAGAATTCAGCTTTCGCTTGCGAACAACAAATATATTACTATATTTATTTTTTGATCTAGTTTTTTTCCTAGGTTACCAATGGTCCGGAGACCGGACGTCAGGTACCCCCGTCGTCCGGATTTCCGGACGACGGTTTTTTGGCACTAAAATAAAAAAAAATTAAAATAAAAAAATTCAGAGTGTTGCGCATCCCCTGGAGACCCCCCACAAAAATTTTCAGATTTTTCTGAGCATTTGGTGATAGGGTGGTATTTGGGGGGGGGGGGGGGAGGAACGATGGGTTTTGGTGGGGATAGGAGGGGTATAGGTGGGGATTAGAATCTTTGAAGATTTTTATTATTTAGTCTACTGGCCCAAATGATCCAAAAATATGGTGGCATACACCTAATGCAAGGTGGAAGCCACATGATTTTTTTTCTTTTTTTTTCTTTTTTTTGCGCTAGGTTGGACATACCCTGTCCGGTCCGACGTCCGACCAGACGTCCGGTCTGACATCCCGGACGGTCAGGGGGGTCCCGAACGTCCGATCCAACAACCTAGTTTTTTTCCCAATACTAGGATATCCCCAAGGAGTAAGGGGTCTTTTTGTTCCAATGGATGTACGGCCTTCTCCTCCTCCATGAGGGTGGCCTACTGCATTCTTTGCTGTACCTCATACTTCAGGAAGTAGATTGCCCCCTAAGGAAGTTGATCGATCCAGAAAGAATGACACACCCATTGACTTTCTAAATGGCCAAGAACCAGCAAATGCCGTCCACTAATTTTGCTAACAAAGCCAGTAAATCGGTCGCTTTATCCGGCACATGGCAAGCGTAATTTTCAGAAAGCAGGGCAAAGTTGATGGCTAAGAAGACGACTTGTTGCGTGGCGTTGCTATAAATCCTGTGGACCATCCTCATGTAGGAGGAGAAGGACGCACAAAAGGAGGCCGGAGGTCCGTTTCTCCTTCTCTGACAATAGTTTATTTGATACAGAGAGGTCAATACATGTGAACATAGAAGCGATCGCACAGCTTGCTACTCTAGCTTTAATTATAGTTTTATTATTAGGTCCTTTAGTGATTGGTCTTTTGGAAGCGCATGAAGGAAACCTTTAAAATGACAATGTTAAAAAAAAAGTTAAAAAACCATTGTAGTAAATGGTCAATGATAGAGAATAGGATTCATTTTTATTCAGTAAGTACTTCTCACTTGAAAACCGAACGGGTCACTACGCTCAGAACGTGCTTTTATTGTAGTGGGAACTGAAAAGCACCAAACACCGAAAAGATGGAAGTTATTTACAACTTGATAGAAATGCTCTGGTTTTAATCAAGAAGGGTTTGCCTATTGGTAAGAGAATTTTAGCTTGTGTGACACACGAACGCACTTCGGCATCATGGGATGCCAAATGGCATCATGTTCTTTTAAACCACCAGTACTTGGCCCAGCTATTGATGCCGAGCCGGGAAACGCCTTGCACGCCAAGTTTTGCTGAGCCACCGCCGCGTCGTTTCGCTTTTCTTTTGGCTGGCGCCTCCAGCCATTGTGCTCCGGTAGGCCGAAGCCCATCAGTCGCGGCGCGTTAACGGGAAACGCCCGCGGCCAATGTATGGGCCAAGTACTGGTGGTTTAATCATGACTGTCCTGATGCGATTCTGGAACTGTCTGTCGAATCTCTCATCATGGGCCCTAGTCTCTCTGTGTCATCGACCCTGCCTATCCGTGTGTCACCTCTGGCTCTAAGTGCCACCACATGTTGCCGATCTTCTCTTCGTTCACTGTGTGTTCGAATCTGAATGGATGATTGCACGCATGTTTTCTGTGGTGCCCTCAATTTATCTGCGTGTGTGCCAAAGATTCTCCATGACGTCTTCAATAGAATCATCCAAATGCCTCCGGAGCACCCCCAAGTCTGCCATATTTTCCTAGTGGCAATCGAACGACAGCAACTGATTGTGTTCCTGAGGTCGTTTGATAGCGATGGCATATGTCCTTTAGCTCAAATTGCATCCGAATGACAGCACACAACTGCCAGGAAATGCCTACAAATGCTTCACATGCAACGTGGTTAGGTGCCAATGGCATTAGCAAATTTTTAACAGCCCAAATAGCCTGTCGTGTGTGCCAGTTTGGACAGCATGTTATTTTTCTTTGTACAGTTCAGTCAAATCATATGTGCCAGGACAGGACAAGTTGTCTGGAAAACTTTTCACACTGATCTCTACAATTTTTTTTTGCTGTTTTGTCGGTGCCCAATATATGAAGGCTTCGCCTAGGTAGGTGACACGTGTGTGTGTGTGTGTGTGTGTGTGTGTGTGTGAGCTGCCAGCCATTGTGGTCCTGTAGCCCCGAGCCACAATTTTTCCCGGAGTAGGTGGCAAACAACATTCTACAGGGCTGTGGCCGTGTACTGGTGGTTTAAACCACCAGTACATGCGGGCCTCTTTTGTATGAGGCGGATTCCCAGTGTGATGCAAATACCAGCATGGCGTTTTTTGTTTTCGCTTTGGCTGACACCACCAGCCATTTTGGTCCGGTTGTCCCGAACCTCCGATTTTTCTGAAGAGGCTCAATCGTGATTCTCAAGTTGGCTGGGGTCATGTACTCGTGGTTTAACGGATAAGGCAACAACCACCCACCTTATACTTAACTGATAATAGGCATGCATAACATCTCAGTTTGATAACCTTTTCGATTCTCCACAAGGAGCACAGCCACTTGAGACGTTAAAATGAAATGCATCTGGTGCACACCTCTGCACAAACTTGTCCACACACCAGCAGCCACACAGATGATTGACATTATTTGATAACCCTGGTTGTCCCATGTAAACACATGTTTTGAATTGTTTTCATCATCTGACTTTTATCACATGTACAGGCCATGGGCGCCACATACTTGAACACCCTCAACTGCATTGACTAAGAGGAAAAGCCATGTAGTGGTGTGCTCTGAGCAAACCTCTCTCTCTCTCTCTCTCTTGTATCATTGATCTGGTGATGCATCATTGGCCTTTCAATTGGAGATATGCACATTCTCTCAGGCCGTTGCATTATGCTCTTGTATTATAGTCATTGTACGGGGATGAACCATTTTTCATCATTAAACCACCACTACCATTCCCAGGCAACATAGAGAATCCAAAATGTAATATTCCAGATTCTTCGGAGGCTCGGGGCTAATCAGCCCTGATGGCTGGTGGCGCCAGCCAAAAGGGGAGCGAAAGGCCACAATGGCGCTTCGGCAAAGCTTGGCATTCAAGGGGAACCGGCATCAGCAAAACGAGGCTCGGAGGTAGTGGTGGTTTCACAAATGGTGATTGAATCACATGGAGATGAGAGAATCCTCTGACACTGCAGCTTGTTACAGGTCTGCATGGATCCGCTCTCTGCACGCCTGGTGTTTTGTGTGGTGTCCTTTGCTCCGCTGATGGCTTTGTTCGCATCTATTTTGCCTTGTTCTTGGTGCCAGGTGCTTGAAGGGGAGTGCTCACCAGAGCAGCCTACTTGCATTGCTCCTTGTTTCTTGTCAGCTGTTGAGAGGTATGGCGACCTTCTTCCTGCTGACTCAATCATGCTTCACGTTTTTGCCCTAATCTGAGCCCATCAGGATTGGAACTCGTGAGCTGCTTACAAGGGGAGGGGGGGGAGAGAAAGCAAGGGAGGCGGAGGGAGGGAAGACGGGGACAGGGGAACTGTAGGGCAGTCAGAATGCTGTGCATTAGGCCTGGCCAGTGCTCGGATTGATCACTGGACTGTCACAAGGTCAAAGTCGAAAGGTGGGTCGGGCATCAGAATGCTGTGCATTAGGCCTGGCCAGTGCTTGGATTGATCACTGGACTGTCACAAGGTCGAAGTCGTACTGCGAAAGGTGGGTTCAGTTTCCCAAAAATGTGAATGGGAGGTAGTAGGTGCATAAAGCATTAGCAGGGTGGGTTCAACAGCGACTCTGCAGTGATGTGCAGCTGAAATCTCAGTGTGGTTTTGTAAATCTCAGAGAAAAACAGACCGTACTGTAGCTGGTGTGGTGGTGCATCCGTGTTTCCTTAGGGATGGGGTGAAACCAGTGTTGCACACCCCGACGGTCGGCGGCCCTTGACTGGTCGGCTGCCGACCAGCCGACCGGTCAGCTGGTCGGCACCTGCTGGTCGGGGGTCGTCGGCACCCAGCACAATTTTTTTTCTTGGGTCCAGAATCCCTAATAACCCCCACCAACACCGCTGTGATGTGTGAAAACTTGCGTGTGCAAGAGAGAGAGAGAGAGAGAGAGAGAGAGAGAGAGAGAGAGCAAACAAATAACCCAATAACATTAATCAGAAAACCCCTGCGGGTAATCCTCTCCACAAAAGTGGCACTTCTCGAACACATTGCAGGGCAGCAGCAGGCCAACTATATATGGCGTGGGTTCGCATTGAGGTCCATGTTTCAGCAGTTATGGAACCACGGAGCATGTGATTGTCTGGGCAGTAGCAGGCCAACTCACCATGTGATTTTCAGGGCTTCCCTCCACAACTCAAATGTGCAAAACTAAACGAATCTTCTGCTAGAACATGGAATCCATACGCCGCCATATGTTTTGTCTTTTGTGCAAGTGGTGACGAGTGGAGCCAGGGCCCTAGGGCCACTGCTCGTAGGAAAGGAAAACAAAAGAAAGAAAGAGAGGTACGGCAGTAATAGTTGTAGGCCATAACTGATGGAACACAGACCTGAATTCGGATCCAGAAGATTTATTGCTCGCCTGCACCTTGCTCATCCGAAATTCGGTGAGTGTCTCCGCTGAGATATAAGAGCCCTGCTTCCTTCATAAAAAAAGCTATACTCAATGAGGAATACGGGGCCCTATTTTTTTTCCCCTCTGCCCTTGAAACCTGTAGAAGGGAGGGGCACGCCTGGCTACCTCAGCCACCCCCAATACCCCTATACACCCCCTCAACACCTCTAAACCGCCCCCCAACACCCTCATTACCCCCATCAATAGCCCTTGTAACCCCCCTATACCCCCCCGACCCCCCCCCTACCCCCAAAATTTTCTCAGCGGATTTGGGCTGTACTCAGCAAGCGCAGTACAGGCCCTAACTCAGATTTGAAAAAAAAACAGTCGATGGCTGTTTTCTCACTGGTCGGCAGACTGCCGACCAGTAGGCCCTACTGGTCGGCTGCAAAACGGTCGGTGGTTGGGATGCAACCCTGGGTGAAACCATATTCCTTAGATGGACTTGGGAAGAAATCTTGCTGTAGTTTAGAAGAGCGAGCGGATGCCTGCCGTGGCTATGCCAGGACCGGATGTTGCCAATTTGGCCCTTGCCATGGTCAGGACGCACTATGCGGGCTGAGCGGTATTATGCGGCATGGGTGATACTATGCGGGTCATGTCATACCTTGTGGGTGGGTCATACCGTGTGGAGGGCAGGGCATACTATGTGGACTGGGCGGGACTATGCGGGCAGGGTTGTATTATGTGGCCTAGGTGGTATTTAGTGGTTGGGTGGCATAATGTGGGGTGGGCCATACTACCTGGAACGGGTGGTAGTATGTGGCCCACTCGATACTATGTGAGTTGGGTTGGACTACATGGGGTGGGTCATAGTATATGGGCTGGATGGTACTCTGTGGGCTGGACGGTACAGTGTGGGGTGGGTGGCAATGCTACATACGCTCGACGATACAAACGACCCAGAATAGAAAAAGAAAACACAAAACAAAAAGGCCAAGCCCATCTGGGGTGAATGGTACACCCATCAACCGTTGTTAGACAGACCTGAGCTTGAATCCTATGAAGAGAAGGAAACAACTCTGAGATCCTTTTTAAACTTTTGGGTTGAGCTGAGATCTTGACCTGGTTGCTAACTGTCACATGTCTTCCTTTCTTTTACTTTTTGGGGTGACCTCCCTCAGACTCTAGCTCTTAAACTGTTTTCTAACTGTCAACCCTAAGGGCCTGCGATGCACTTATTTGAACATCCAGCCACAGCCACATACATGAACCCACCAGCAGCAGGGCAGATCCTTTTCTTACTTTGGGGGTGAGCCGACCCTGGGTTGGAGATCTTGGCCTGTTTGCTAACTGTCACATGGCTTCTTTCTTTTTTTTAGTTTTGGGATGAGCTCACCCGGATTCTAGCTCTTGGCCTGTTTGCTAACTGCCACATATCTTCTTGCATCCAAACGGGCTTGCTATGTACTTGTATTTTAACACCCAGTCAGAGCGACACGTGAAACAAAAATGACAATATGAAACAACTCTCCGCCTGCCCCCCCCTAGAGAAAAAAATCGTGCCTCCATGCACGAAACGATACGACGCATCACGAAATGGTTGGGCCGCATCGACGTCACCACAGTTTCTTTTCACAAGTGGCGTGATACAACGGATCTTGTTGGGCCTGCCCCGGGCCATGCCCTTTTCCCAACACACGGCAATGGAGTCTTGTGTGTGAGCATCACACGAGACTCGTGTTTCGCTCAAGGAGTGTAAGGATAGCGCGGATCATAATGGTAGTAAATGAGACGAGTAATGATAGATCAGAAGTAGGTGAGCAGAACAGAATGTAAAGAAGTGAAAGGAAAGACTGGACAATGGAAACGGCATAAGAGCTGCAAGAGAGAGAGAGAGAGAGAGAGAGAGAGAGAGAGAGAGAGAGAGAGAGAGAGAGAGAGAGAGAGAGAGAGAGAGAGAGAGAGAGAGAGAGAGAGATCTATGCCTTGCTGTCGTTGAACAATTCCATGCAGGTGCAGTTGTGTAAGACTATGGTGTCAGTGCCTGTGGCTGAGAGCTCCGTTGCTTTTCTGTTGTATCTCCGCAGGGGCTCTGTTCCAGAGAAGGCAAAGAAATTCATGTGCAGGAACCGGTTGTCTGGGGATTGCCATTATGCATATGAAGCTCTTGCAAAGCTTGCAGAGGTAAATCCTGTTGCCAACCTTTGCCCATTTCATCGTATCAAAGCAATGCATCCATTGCATCACCCTTTTACCACGTCGAGGTGGTCAAGTTTTGTGGCAACCACAACTTGGATGTGGCATATGTGGTAGCCATGGAATGCATACGAGCCATGATGCAGCGTTCAAATGTACCTTCAAAGTTAGTTCCTGAAGTACAGAGTAGATTATGTAGAGAGCCTCAAGAGACAGTGAAGGCAAATATGCTCTTTTCAATTTGTGTGTGTGGGTCGAGAGCGGGCGGTGATTAAGCCCACATAATCTGTCAATATATGTGTTGTAGACTATGGATTGACATAGTGGAACAGAAATGAAGGGGTAAAGGATCCGGAGGATAGTCTTTCTACAAATCTAATCTGGTAACTTGTTGGCTATTTGAAAAGCTGTGGATCTTTGGGTGCCTGGCATTTGTTGCACACTCTGAACTGGTTTCCTGTCAGTGGGAAGTAGAAGTATTTACGATTTTGTATTGTAGCTTCTTAAGGAAATTTGGTGGGATGTAGTCTCTTAAAATCGAAGGCTGGGGACTGATGCCTCGCCCGTTGTGCGCTCCTCCTACAGTTAGTTCTGATAAGTTGAATTGTAAAATAACTACGAAACTGTAGGTCACCCTTGTGGCAGAATGGTACAGAGCTAGGAACTACTCATGGACATGTTGACAGTTCAACCCGTAGCTGCCACAGCTCCATTAAGTGCTCCACCCTTTGAGCGTTGCAAGCTATTGAGGCGAATATCATGAACGGCTCTGTACAGATCCTTGAAGAAGAGAAGGAGAAATATGTCAGTGGTTGCCTTGGCAATGGCGTGGTCTCAATTGCTGTTGGCTTTGTGCTTCTTCAATTCTGAGACTTCTCATGGTGAACCCTCTCTCTTTTCTATTAGTGAGCGAGCCCTCTCTCTTTCTGTGTATTCCCAGTGGCCCTCTGATGTACTGGTACAAAGCGCAGTACATGAGGATGCATTGACTTCTGTGCACATTTCTTCTCGATAGAGTCTGGTAATGTATATGGGATGGCAATGGATGCCCCCTGATCAGATTCAACAAGTTTTCTGCCTGGTTTCTTGCTCGTTCTCTGAGAGCATCTAGTTTGCCAGGAGTTTTTTCTTTCTTTCTTTTTTTGCATGGGGTGTGTTGCTGTATCTGTTTTCTCTGGTTCTGTCTTTCTTTCTTTTTTCGCATGGGGTGTGTTGCTGTATCTTTTTTTTTTGGTTCTGACGCAGGTTTCTGTTTTTTTTCTGGCATTCTGTTTTGCTTGACACGATCGTGCCACGCCGCTGCAGAACGAGGAGTGGACTTTAAAACGGTCAGATGGCCATCCAGGGGAATACTTGGGCTGCTTGCGGGCTTATCTGAACCAGCAGTTTTTGCGGCTGGTAGGATCTTTATCCCTTTCCTTGTCTAAAAATTATCTGGTCCTTTTAAGCTGTACTATTCCTCACCGGCACCCCACCCACCCCTTGGGTGTCTTGTTTACTTGTTTTTATTATTCCTCTCTCCACCCACTTTGTTTGTTGCCGTTCTAAACCACCACTTCATATAGACGTATTTTGACGAACCAAAAGTTGCATTCCCTGAGCCTAAGATCTACAGTGCTGCCCGCCTTGAGGGGAAAACTGATTGTGGTGCCGAGCCTGGGCAATGTAGATTTTAGCCTGGTACTACGGATCCTCCGTGATCCACTGAACAGTGCAGGATCCGTTGGAGTGGTGGTTTGAGCTGTACTGTTCCCTGCCTCCCTTCTACCCCCTGTTTCCTTCTGTTTTCTGTTTTTTTTCTGGTTTTGTTTCTTTGGTTCTTCAGACTCCTTCTCTATTTTGTATGGGATGGGGTCAATGCCATTATGCTTGGATAATGCCTGGCCAAAAAAACGAAAAGTGATGTGAGGAAGTTGCTTGTTAAATATGGAATGACCTTAGGATACATCACCCCCAAGGCACGGATGGACTGAAGGTGAAATTTGTACTAACTGGTTAAGTTAGAGCATTATTTAGTTTGCTTACAGTCTGATTCATGTCTTTGCATCTTCTCAGAGGACAGCTTCGGTGTGTTTTGATGTCTGACCTTGACTGGTTTGTTTTCCTTGGTTCCAAAGACTCCTTAATGACTGGTCTCTTTCTGAGTCCCACTAACAGTACAATCAAGTGTCTGCGGGCTTTGACCGTATTGAACTGCCGAAGTGGGAGCATTTTCTACCCAGTGAATTGAAATAATAAATTGTGATGTGTTTGCAAGGAAAATGAGCAATAGCGAAATGACAGAATCCAAATTGCAACTTTACATTGAAAGCCAGATAGTTGTGAGCTGTCCAGAAAGCAGAAATGCACCGATATCACACCGAAGAAGAGCCAAAGCAACAAACTCAATTGTCAATGAACGCTCTCTCTCGCCACCATCAACAATGTATCGGAAGTCTTCCCTCCTACTGGCGCTCAGCGCCCAGACTATGATCATACAGCTCCTATACTAGCCTATTCTAATGATGAAGCAACCAGATGACGTCAGCAGCAGCAACCAAAGTACATGCAGATGTCGCTCATGCAGACCTCCACGGGAATCTGGTATGTGCTCTCACATCTCTGCTCACTTGCCCTGTCTCTGCTCACCCTTGTCTTTTCCCCAACTCTCCTTCACCAACCAAGGACCGCCACCATACTCCGCTGACCTCCCTTGTGCCCAAGCCCGGCTATGGCTGGCTTGGCACTGTGCTGCTTCCATGCAGCGCTCTCCCCCCTGCGCCCGAGTGTGGCCAGGCACTTGCGCTAGCAGCTACGAGTGCTCAAACTTGCAGTGCTGCCACATTGCACACTCGTGCCTCAATGTCTCAGTAGTGGCCAGGCCCTCTCCTATATGGAAAGTGATGTGGCATGTAGGCTGATCGACTGGGAGCCCAGTAGCTTCACATTGGGCTAAAGTGTCTGCGCCCAGGCCTGTTCAGGCATGCCCAACTACCCTGCGCTCCTTGACGTGTCCCCTGCTTCGTGATAGGCCGAGAGGCCAGCTTCCATGTCAAGTCTAGAAGAGCCTGGAAGGCTCAAGGAAGATTCTGATGCTCACGAGCAGGGGACATGTAACCAACTGACGTGCAGTCACCGTCTGCCGCCCACCAGGGCCTGCAAAAGTGCAATATTCAGGCCTCATTGAGATATGGGGCTTGCCTTCACTTAGGGTGGCACAAGGCGGGTCTCTTTTGTATGAGGCGGACCGGTGTGAGGAAACCCGGGGAGGGGTCGCCTACTGTTAAGCTATGTTGTTAGCACTACATAACTTTGAGTCGAGTTTGATGCTTTCTCTAGCGCATTGATAGAACAATATCTCCCATGCATCAAACGCGTAAGCTCACTTAAACTGTACCCCGGGTTCTTGGCACAGTCTTGGGTAAGTATCAATCTGGTCGCTTTTCCTAGTTGCCTGAGTAAATCAAATGATTATTCAGTCTTGCACCGATAGTTTTGATAGGATGAGGGAGGGACCCAGCCGCGAGGGATGAGCAGGAGTTTGATTGTTCGAAATGGTTGAGCTATAACTGCTTCACCAGAGTCCTCCCTCTTTTTCGACGCAGTCGGCGACACTCGTTTCCCCAGCAGAAAGCCCCTGCAAAGAGTTCGTTGTCGAAGAGACTAGTCAATCGTACATGTTTTTTTTCCCAGCTAGTACTCGGCCGGTCAATGAACAGCGATTATTTGATTCGATGAAGAGCAGCGAACATTTGAATTGTCGATGAGAAGCAAGTATTTGATCTACCGACTATCGGTAAGCGCCTGACCCAACCATGAGCAGCAAGTTTTGATTGAGTAACGGATAATAAACTTTTCAGTACCGATTATCAGGTCCAACCATATGCAGCAAGCTTTGGGTTGAGCAATGAATAATAAAACCTTTGATTACCTATTATCAGGTCTAACCATGAGCAGCAAGTATTTATTCTGACAATGAATAGTGGGTTTTGATTTTCCGGATCATTCCCCCTTTCTGGCTCACTTTCACTGATCCCCCCCCTTTTTCTGACTCCTAAACTTGACTCCCTTTACCTCTATTCCTACCGTGTCGCTCCCACTTACCCACTTAGTTCAACTTCTCCCTTTTTGGGCAGGCCTTGCCCCCCTTTCAATCTGCAAGCTTAACTGTTGATGGAATGACTGATCTGCTCATAAGCCCGATTTTTCATACTGGAAACGATCCGCTCTCCAATCCGTCTGTTGATCAAACTGTCTATTCAGTCATCGGTTTGCCTTGGTGATCCGCAGCAGGACGGTCGATTATGTTGCCGAGTGGATTGGACGGGCCGAGTTGAATGGATATTACCGCATGTCAGCCAGATGCTCAGGGCGGCAGGGATATTTAATATAGTCAATGCTCAGTAAGTCCACAACCTGATCAGCTACTGCCTTTCAAGTATCCTTTCAAGTCAATTCAAATTTTTGGTGCGACATAGATATTCAGTCTGATGCGTCCTCTGGTTCATGCACGTGAATAGGATAGTCCAATCTCTCTCTCTTATTCTCTCTTGCTCGTTCTCCTGCCTTTCCCCTACATAACCGCGGGGTAGGTCGACGGGGCGACAAATACCTGTTTTCTGAGGGAAAATAATAGGCTCTTCAATGGGCCATAATTCTTGCCTGATATGGTCAGGTTAACGCGCGTGCCTTTGCTGAGCCCCCCATTGTCCTGTTTACGGATTTCGGTTCGTAATCGGATAAGCTCGGCGCTGGGGCCTGATCGCGCCTCTTTAGGAAAACTTGAGCACGACTCGACGAGTGGGAAGTACTCGATCGCGAGAGGATGCGATCAGAGTTTCAAGTTTAGGCACGTCATGTTTTGTTCCCTCGTTTGCTCACACTCACTCTCACCACTTTTTCCCCCCATCCGATTTCAACAGTTTCACTCTCTTTTCCTCCCGTTATTCCAAGGCTCATCACTTTCACTCTGTTGCCTCGATTTTGGAGTACATTTGTATGCGCTCAGTCCCAGGTGCTCTGACTTAGGACACAAGGGAGTAGAACCTTACGTTCTCATTCGTTCCCCTGCCTCAGTTTGGCATGTATCTGGCTGTGGTTTGGGCCAGGGTCATAAGATAAGTGCTGCAATTACCCCCATTCACGGCGCTGTCTTAATTATTTTTGGCATGCAACTTTCCTTGATTTGGCCCAGAGACAAGAGGCTCTTATTGCAATTGATCCCACTCACGACGCAGTTTTATTTTGCGCATGCACGACGCAGTTTTATTTTGCGCATGCAGCTTGCCGTGCGTTGGACCGGTTGTAAGAGGTACTTTTTGCAGTTACCTCCATTTGTTTGTGCTTCTCCTTCACACTCGTTTCCGTTTACCCTCTTCAGTTGCACACTTCCTGCCTGTGAACCAGCGCGCTCTCTCGCTCTCGTATCAACTCACACGTCCATCCCATTTATCACATTTGGTGTTCTCGCCGACTTACCAAATGAAGGGGCTGGGTATGGATCTCCAACAAGAACATGGAAGGGCACAATTCCGATTCGCGGCTTCAGTCAGCTGCCCGCTAGACGAGGATATACGAGAATGAATCCTCAGGCGAGACACAGGAAGTTCAACAGTTCCTCTGGGTTGGCGGATCGCACAATTGCTGTACCTGTAGATTTCTGTGCAAGCGGGTCGTTCAATCAATAGTTCCATAGGGCGAGCGGATCGCTCTAAAATGTTTGTGCTCACCGATTGTGCGTGCATCGAGTGCTCCACAACTTGTTCTCGAAATCGCGGGTGTTCTGACCCAACCATGCGAGACTCTGTACACACCGTGTTCTCTGTCTCTCCCGCGAGCTCATCGGCTGTCCGCTGCTCAGGTCTGCCCCGGGGTCTGTTGCCTGCACCCACCAAACAAGGTTACTCAAGCTCCCACTGAGAAGCTCTCAACTGCGGACACCAGGCACACGGCCCTCTCTCGCACTGTCCGCCTGCAGCTCTATGACTCCGTCCCTCATCCCCCGCGTGGGTGAGGGTTTGGCATTCGCTGCTTACCGCGCTTAACACACTTAGCTCGAAGATGATCGCACATGGAGTTCTTTCTTCCTTGCTGCTGCTTGCCCGCCCACTTGCTAGGATACACGGAAGTGCGTACAAGTTCAGTGTCTGACCCCGCTCAGAATCATGCGTGCACTTGCCGCATGCAATGAGAACTCGTCGAGGGTTTTCTCCCCCTTCTCCTATTGTTGCCTCTCCCCACCTTCCTTTTGCTTGCTCATCTCCCCATTGATCAGTCAAGGAGGTGGCTGAGTACGTCTGGCACGCCTCCCGGAACTTTCCCCTGCCACGAGCTGTTCTCCCCTCTTGTGTCACGCACCTAGCTGCCTGCGTACGCCATGAACGCGTCTCGGTCTCGCCTGTTCCGTCCGCCCGTGCACA